ATGGAGGCCTCTGCCATGCAAGGACCGGAGACCAGGGAAGCGGGCAGGGTGGGGGCCCACCGTGTGCGGATGCAGGAGGCCTCCACAGCGTTGATGAGCAGAGAGCGGAAGCCCCCACTCTCCAGCACGTGCAAGGCATGGATGGTGGCCCCACCAGGAGAGCTGACGTTGTCCTTGAGCTGGCCTGGGTGCTGTTCTGAGTGCAGCAGCATCTTGGCAGCCCCCTGCAGTCAGAAGAAAGGCTGACGGCTGTGAGTACCCACCTGCCTCTGCAGGGCACTGCCCCAGCCACTGCAGCACCCACTGACTCCCCACTTGGCTCCTCCCAGTGAGGCCCCAGGACCCTGCAAGGAGTGGTCCCACCAGAGGGTCAGGAAACACACTGACCAGGAGGGCCTGGGCCCCGAGGCGGACTGCCAGGCGCCTTGGAAGTCCCATCTTCACGCCCCCATCAGCCAGGGCATCCAGGGCTGTGAACGCCTGTGGGGAGAAGGCACCCTGAGCCTCTCTCCTGGGCTTCTCCTCCTTCCCTTCTGGGCAAGCTCCAGCTCCCACAGCCTTGGAGCCCTCCACCGTGGCCCTCCCAGGGGGGCAGGGACAGATGTGCCCTGTGGTCCTGGGAAGTGTCCGCCGCTGCCATCTGCCCCCGCAGTCCTCACGTAGGCGGGGCCACTGCCACTGAGCCCCGTGACGGCATCGATCAGGTCCTCTTCCACCTCTGTGCAGAAGCCCACGCTGCTCAGCAGCTGCTCCAGGAGCCTCCCGTCCTCCACCTGGGCGTGTGTGCCTGTGGCGTACACGGTGGCCCCCTCCCGGACCACGACCGGGATGTTGGTCATGCAGCGGATGACCCTGGGGGTTGGTCGAAACGCTGACAGCTTCTGGAAGAGAAACCAGTGTGTCTGTCTGGCCTTGGACGCAGTGCCTAGATGCACCCACCCCCCCGAGCAGTGCCCGAGCTGTCCCAGTGGGCCGGGACACTGCAACCCTTTTGCAGATGAAAACTGAAGTACTGAGGGCCAGGGCTGTAGACAGCCCCTCTCCACACCCCACTAGGCCTGCAGTGCTACCTTCTCTATGGAGCCGATGGTGACGCCGGCCGCACAGGACACCACGATGTGCCTGTCCTCAATGTGGTTGCCTATCTCATCCAGGATGAAGGGGATGATGTGTGGCTTCACAGCCAGGAAGAGCACATCACTGTGCTGCACCGCCTCCTTGTTGTGGGGTGTCAGCTTCACCCCCATCTTCTGTGGGGGCAACAGGTGGGCTCAGCCTGTTCCTGTGGCTGTCTGCACCCCCACCAAGCCAAGAGCCCCACAGGTAGAACCGCACAGAGAATGCTGGAGTTCGGGGTGGGGAGGGCTGGGGGCTCAGGGCTCTGACCACCGCCTTGATGACCCTTCCCACCCAGAAATGGAGGAACTCTGTGTGGAATGTGTCCCTGTTGCAGACAGAAAAGGAGCCTCCATCCACACCACCACCCTGCCACCAGCCTCAGACTGCCGTCCCCCAGACCCCCGCTCTCCATGTGTGAGTGGCAGTCTCAAGCAGCCCCCAAATGTGTTGTTTGGCTGCCCGGCTGTGGCCCCACCTGCCAGGCCCCCAGAGGACCCCTCGAAACTTTAACTCTGTGCAGGGAGGTCCATTCCAGAGCAACACCCTCCTATTAGCTGTACACACTCTCACCACCCAGGTCCCAAGAGAAATTGGCGGGGCAAGGAGGCAGGGTCCATGAGACTCCAGCCCAGGGCCCCTGCCCTCACTGCGTGGGAGCACTCCTGCATCTCCACGCCCAGCCCCACAGGGACTCAGTCTCCTTCTCCCCTTTCACCTGCACCTACCCTGAGGGCAGAAACCGTGGCCAGGTCCATGTCTGGGGAGCTAGCCATTATCTTGTGGGCAGCCAAGATGCCTGAGAGGGGAAACAGTTCCTCTTCATGGCCAGTTCTGGCTTCCCTCCCTCCCCATTCCCAGGAAGAAGAGTAAGACAGCACAGGTAAAGCCCCAAACACACAGAAGCTGCCAGTTCCCCCAGGACTCAGGTCTTGTGACCCAGCCCCCACCTTCAGCCCCCAGCCCTACAGAAGTGGAAAGGGGACAGTCTCTCCCACTGGGCCTCACCGTCCCCCACCTGGGGACCTACCTGCTGCTGTGAAGCCCTTGACCAGGGCAAAAGCCAGCTGGCCAGCGCCGATGAAGCCCACGCTCATGCTGTCGGGAGACCCCCGGCCCAAAGCCCCCACAGATGGCACCGGCTCTGCGGGATGAGACTGGCAGGATCAAAGCAAGTTAGGAGGGCAGTGCCAGCCTGACCGCTCCTCCCGCAGCCAGGTGCCCACCCGGCTTTCCACTTTGCTGTCCGATGGCCCTGGCCCGCTAACTGCTCCGGATCCCCTAGCCAGAGCGGCGAGGGGTCTCGCACCCACCGCAGGGGTAGAGGCTCCGCAGAGGAAATGACTGGGAAGGGGGAAAAGTACGGGCAGGACCCGGCGCCCCGGGGGTCCTCCGTCTGGGCTCCCACCCCGCCCGGAGCTAGGCTACCTTCGCGCCCCACCCGACAGCCGCCGCCCACCATTCCCGGAGCCCGACCCCAACCCAGCTACCATGCGCAGGCCGTCCCCACCCCTCCGCGCCGCGCCCGCCACGCGGCACCCGCACCCCAGCCCCGCCCCCGTCGCGCTAGCAAATCCGGGCGCGGCCGCCAGGCGCTGGCCAATCAGAGCGCGCGGCGGCGCCAAAGCGGTTGCATCATCCGCGCGCCCCTCCGCTCGGGCCCCGCCGCTCGCGTGCCCTGGGATCCTCCGACCCCCGGACACACCCCCTCTCAGGCTCGTAGTCCCCTGACCCGCGCTCCTCCGGGTCGCGCTTCCTGGGACCTACCGTGGGGTCCGAGGACGCGGGCGGAGGGGGCGGTCCGAGGGGGCCCTGCACGCAGGGCTTTGTCTTGGGCCACCCGGACACGGACGCGTCAAGCTGGCAGCCCTGGGCGCGTGGCCGGTGCTCTCTGGGAATCAGTCCCTTCTACTGTCATCGAGTTTGGAGAAGCCCGGCTGCACCGCGTTTTCTTTCCTTTGTGTGTGTGTGTGTGCGCGCGCGCGGGGGCGGGGTTGAAAACAATTTCCTAAGTGGAAACATTTTAAATGTAACACTATTTCCGCTGGGCGCGTTGGCTTACTCCTGTAATCCCAGCACTTTGGGAGGCCGAGGTGGGCGGATCACCGAGGTCAGGAGTTCGAGACCAGCCTGGCCAACGTGGTGAAACCCCACCATGATGAAACCCCATCTCTACTAAAAATACAAAAAATTAGCCGGGCGTGGTGGCAGGCGCCTGTAATCCCAGCTACTTGAGAAGTTGAGGCAGGAGAATCGCTTGAACCTGGGAGGTGGAGGTTGCAGTGAGCCAGAATCGGGCCTCTGCACTCCAGCCTGGGCAACAAGAACAAGACTCCAACAACAACAACAACAAAAAAAAAAAAAAAAAAATAAGGAAGAAAAGAAGAAAGGAAAAGAAAGGCATAACACTGCAGCCACGAGTGTTCTTCTAACTGGGCACACAGTGGTGCTCCGCTAGCAAACGCAGGAAGCCCACCCCATCGTGCCCCAGCTCCCATGCGACCCGGAGCATCCTCCAATACCCAAACATCACGCCTGCCCTGGGTTTTAGGGAGAGTGAAGCTCCAGTCACTTCCCCCTGAGAGCATGCTCAGAGTTCATCTGATTCGGGCTCTGGATAGTCAGGGTCTCTGTCGGTGGTGAGATTAAGGACAAAGTCAGAAGGGATCACTGGCAGCCCATTCCCCTGCCAAGGGGTGAGAGGAGCTACCTTTTTTTTTCTGTGCTGTATCTTAGATGATGACAGGCTATTCTAGCACATCATTTCAGAAGGCCTGGGACGCTCCTGCCACAGCGGCAGGGCCACGTGTTCTGGCTATCTGTCTACCTGTTCCCCCCACTGTCGACATGTAATGACCACCACCAACACTGGGAGGCTGCTCTGTGGTGGCCATGGGAGGAGCTTGTCCAGATGGACAGCTCAAACCTGGGGCACGAAGGCTAGCAACGCCACGGTGCTTTGAGAGCCAAGCTTCCCAGGCCATTTCAAAATCAGTTTTCCCCAAGTGATAACAGCAAGTAACACTTTTACCTAAAAACCCAAAAACCCAAAATGGACAGCCCTCTGGGCCAGGGATACACACCATCAACAACATTGATTCTGAAGGAAGCCTCCCAGCCAGACCTCCCAGCCCTGGGTCTCCTCCCCTTCCTTTCTCTCCCTCAGGACCTTTGAGAAGGTGGCAGAAGGCCACCAGACAGGGAGGAAATTGGGAAGTTGGTGACAATTAACTCGTTTCTGAATTCTGGCCAGTAAAAAAAGGAGAGGAGGCTGGGTCCCCTGCAAGACTGGTGCCCAGGTCTCCCCTGAGTCAGGAGGCAGGTGATCCCTGTACCCCTCCCCGCCACTGTCTGCCAGCAGCAGGCCCCACAGCTGACTGCCCTTGTCTGGGATCTGCCATTGACCCACCCCCTCTGAGTAAAGGACGTCGGCCAGACCCTGTTTGTCGGCTAACGTGAGCAAGACCCCTCCTCAGCGGCCAGCGAGGCCCTTTCCTATATTCTTCATGGCAGCAGCACAGGCCTGGTTGCGGGGACCGCCATCCAAAAGGAGCAACAATGCATCTGTCCATCACTGTGTCTGGGGCCTCTCGAGACCCCCATATGGGCATGGGGGAGGAGGTGAGCGCTGCAGGCCTCTGGGAGGGATGGGCATGAGCCACAGGCCTGTCGGAGCCAGGCTGACCTGTCACCCCTCTGAGGCAGAGGACACTGCCTGCCCCTTCCCCAGGAGGCTGCTCAGACCCTCAGGAGCCCAGCCTGCCCTGACCACAATCCCAGGCCACTTCTTCCTCAGCCTTCCCCCAGAGCATGCTAGGAGGGGCCGTCAGGAGGGGCAGGTGCCCATGGTCCCCTCAGAAGAGACTGCTGGTCCAAAGACAGGGTGCATCTAACTGTCAGCATTTATTTCCTGCTCAAGGACGTCAGTGGGACCCAGTCAATGGGCTGAGGGGCTGTTGTGCCCCTGCCCACCCGGCTTGGACTCAGGGGCGGCCAGTGGGTCAGCTCCTGGCTGGTCCAGGCTGGGCTTCTGTGCAGGAGAAGCTGGCTGGAGCGTGGAGGATGATGGCCTCGGCGTCAGGAGTGTTTGGGCAACTGGACCCTTGAGCAGAGGCAAGCAGTGCCCAGACTCTGTGTCCAGTGGCTGTCCTCAGCTGGGCTCCCTCCCAGTGCCACAGAGGCCCACAGTGCACAGATGCCCACCCGGCCACTGCTAATGCTGCTTTGTCACAGCCGATGGTGGGTGTCCAGGTGGGGCTCTGTGGCTATGGCAGAACCAGGTCCTCTCCGTCCACTGTGCACTTGGCGCCGCTGGGCTCTGTAGGCTCTTCCAGGCCACCTGCACCACTTCCAGCCGGCGGACACCCCGGAGGCAGCCTGCTTCCAAAGGCTGTGGCTACTAGCCAGACATGGGTGGGAGAGGCTGGTCCAGATTTCTGGCTCCTCTGTGAGCCGGCACAGCTCCCCAGGCAGGCCCCTCTTCGCAGGGTTCTGGGAGCTGCTTCTCTGAGCCAGGAGTGGTTCCGGCTCCACACGCCCCTCCCTCCCCTTGATTGGCCCAGCTGCTCTGCTGGGTTCCTTTCCTCTGAAAGTCATTCATTTTCCAGCTTGCCTTACCCAGCCTGAGTGTGGTCTCCAGACACTCACGGAGGTACTGGGTGCCTCGCAAATCCTTCTGACCTCAGTGTCCCCAGCTGCAAAATGGGTCACAACAGCAGCAGCTTTAAAGTTTTCCCTTATGTTACAGTGACCAGCACTGAGCCCCAGGAGCGCCGGGAAAGGCTGAGAGAGAGAGAGCTGGAGATTAGCGGAGGTGAGGTTCTCCCCTGCGTCTGCTCAGGGCCTCAGCCCTCCTGTCCTGCCCCTGTCCCTCCGTTCCTCCATGAGCCCAGCCTGGAAGTCGGGGCACGACCTCTCCCGTTGTACTTCATCTGCCCTGAGCCCGCGACTTCCCTCCTACTCGCTACTTGACACCTCGGTTCACCTGAGTTTCCCTTGCAGGGCCTGGAGCTGCTGGCCAGAGAGCAGAGGTGGGCGGGCTGCCGATGTGGGCTACAGGCTGGGCACGAAGCGAATCCTCTGGGAGTAGGCGAGGTCAGCGACGTACAGGAGCAGGTTGACATAGGTGAAGATGGCCACCACCAGCTGGCTGTCCCAGGGACAGCTGCCTCGAACGCAGTCAGGGGGCCGTTTGGGCTCGCCATACTTGGGATCGAAACAGAAGACTGGCCAGATCACGGCGGCACTGAGGTACAGGAGCACAGCCAGGAACGTGTACACCACCACCAGCCGGTCAAAGGGGCAGCCCAGGCCCCCTGTGTGGCCCATCACACTCAGGGCCACCACGGCCACTGTGGCAAGGAAGCACAGGCTATAGACGGCCACACACCACTGGGTGGCCACATAGCGCCCGTAGCGGCTGTCGTGGACCAGCGCCCCAAAGATGATGCAGGCCACGAAGGCCTGGACGATCTTGAGGAGCCCTGACACTGTGGCCATGTAGCTGGTCACCTGGCCGGGCCGGGCCCGTGTCAGGGCCACCTCCACGGCGTAGGCCAGAAAGAGGAGCCCGGCGAAGACGCTGGCTGCCAGGCGGAAGTCCCTGGCAGCACAGCCGGCAGGCTCGGGGGGACACTCCCGCCGGGTGAAGTACAGCGGGTACAGGACAGCAGCCGAGGCGCACAGCAGGGTGGCCAGCATGGCGAAGGCGGCGGTGAAGTTGCCCCAGGAGAGCCGCAGGCAGCCATGGAGCCGTGTGAACTCACAAGCCACCACCAGTGCGGAGACAGCAAAGCAGAAGCCCCAGGCAGCCATGCAGAAGGTGCCCTGGACGCCCGTGAAGCCGCCCCGGTGGGCCACCAGGCTGAAGGTGGTGCAGCCAAAGGCCAGCTGCAGCACGCGGGCTGTGCCCACAGGGGACGTCACAGCGCCCAGGTGCAGGTATGCACTCCCAGGGGGCTCCATGGCGCTGCCCATCTGGCCAGCCACGTTTCCGGCTCACACAGTGCTCCAAGGCCCTGGGGTCCCTGCTGGACCAAGACTCCTCAGTTCCCTGCGGTAGTGGCAGGTGCCCGCAGCCTGCAGAGGCGGTGACAACGGTGACATTGCAGCAGGGCAGCCTCTCTGCTGCCTATGTGAGGCGGCCCCCCCAGCACTATAAATAGACAGCCGTGATCAGACCCCTAGAATAGCAGCCCACGTGCCTGTCCCCATCTTAGAGAGACATCTGACCCCGGTCCGCTATGGAGTCCGCTGTGGAGCCCCTGCCGGGACCATTAACCCATTGGCTGCTGGCACCACCCCCACCTCCGCCTCCGCCGCCTCCCGCGCACCTGCATCTGTCAGTCTGGTGAGTTGGTTTCACAGCTCTTGGGGGAGGGGGAGGAAGAAGGAGGGGAGCGGGGAGCAGAGAGCATGAGGGTCCCCACGGGGTAACCCCAGCTCCAGCAGCCTCCAGGGCCAGTTGTGTGGGGGAGGGGTGTAGGAGGCGGGAGGCGGCAGCCAGGGCTCGCCGCGGGTAGGGGGGTTTCCGCAACACTTACCCCACCTCTTCCGGATGGCCGTGTGGTTCAGAGTCTGCGTGGGCTTCAGGATCCTGCTGTCATAGCCTGAGGTTCACAGGGCTCTACTGTGGCCGCGGGGGGAGCAGAGCGTGGAGACCGTGGCTCTACTCCCCAAGCCCCCCTCCCCACCCTCATTCTGTCTTGTCCCTAACCTGCCTGGGCAGAGACGTTTGCCTGTTAGTTACTGTCTGCAGGGGCCATTCCGGGGCTCTTCACTTGTTCTTCACATTAAACACCTAGAAAAACACTCAACTCTTCCCGTTTTTTTTGAGACGGAGTCTTGCTGTGTTGCCCAGGCTGGAGTGCGATGGTGCGATCTTGGCTCCTGCGTTCAAGCAATTATCCTGCCTCAGCCTCCCGAGTAGCTGGGATTACAGGCGTGAGCCACTGCGCCCGGCTAATTTTTTTTTGTATTTTTAACAGAGACGGGGTTTCACCATGTTAGCCAGGCTGGTCTTGATCTCTTGACCTCGTGATCCGCCTGCCTCGGCCTCCCAAAGTGCTGGGATTACAGATGTGAGCCACTAGGCCCGGCCCCTCTTGTTTTTTCAAGACAGGGTCTAGCTCTGTCACCCAGGTTGGAATGCAGTGGTAAGATCACAGCTCACTGTAGCCTCAACCTCCCAGGCTCAAGTGTTCCTCCTGCCTCAATCTTTTTATTTATTTATTTACTTATTTATTTATTTAACCATTTGCAGTCTCTCCCAAATCTTCCATTTTTAAACTAAAATATGAAATGTTTTTGAAAAGAAAAAAAAGATTTCTTTTTTTTTTTTTGAGACGGAGTCTCGCTCTGTTGCTCAGGCTGGAGTGCAGTGGCGAGATCTCGGCTCACTGCAAGTTCCGCCTCAGAGGTTCAAGCCATTCTCCTGCCTCAGCCTCCCAAGTAGCTGGGACTACAGGCGCCGCCACCTCGCCCGGCTAATTTTTTGTATTTTTAGTAGAGACGGGGTTTCACCATGTTCGCCAGGATGGTCTCGATCTCCTGACCTCGTGATCCACCCGCCTTGGCCTCCCAAAGTGCTGGGATTACAGGCGTGAGCCACTGTGCCCGGCTGGAAAAAAAAATTATTTATTACTAAATTTTAAAGTTTTTTCTTTTCTTTTTTTTTTTTTTTTTTTTTTTTGAGGCGGAGTCTTGCTCTGTGCCCAGGCTGGAGTGCAGTGGTGTGATCTTGGCTCACTGCAGCTCCACCCCGGGTTCACGCCATTCTCCTGCCTCAGCTACTGAATAGCTGGGACTGGTGCCCGCCATCACGCCCGGCTAGTTTTGTATCTTTTGCTTAGTAGAGGCAGGGGTTTCACGGTGTGCGCCAGGGTGGTCTCGATCTCGACCTCGTGATCTGCCTTGGCTCGAAAGTGCTGGGATTACAGGCAGACCACCGCGCCCGGCCAATTTTTTTCTTTTTTTTTGAGATGGAGTTTTGCTCTTCCAGGAGTGCAATGGCGAAATCTCGGCTCTCCAACCTCTGCCTCCCGGGTTGAGGCTCTCCTGCCTCAGCCACCCTAGCAGCTGGGATTACAGGTGCCTGCCACCATGCCCAGCTAAGTTTTTGTATTTTTAGTAGAAACGGGGTTTCACTATGTTGGCCAGGCTGGTTTTGAACTCCTGACCTCAGGCAATCCACCCGCCTCAGCCTCCCAAAGTGCTAGAATTACAGGCGTGAGCCACCGCGTCCAGCTTTGTTACTACAAAGAGAAACAAAAATTGCCTGTAATTGCATCACCTGGATTCAACCACTTTGAACATTTTCTGGTATATCCTTGTAGGTATTTCCTGAACGTTTTAGTTAGAAAAACTGAAATCCATGAAGGGAGCTACAAAATAGCATGACAAACACTCATATACCCTTCATCTCGTCATGTCTGAGCTCTCTCACACAGACATGAGTGATTAACCCGATTGGCGGTATGACCTTAGATTTCACAGACCCCAGTCTTCCTTTTTCTTTTTTTCTTTTTTTTTTTTTTTGAGATGAAGTCTCCTGTCACCCAGACTGGAGTGCAGTGGTGCAATCTCAGTTTACTGCAACCTCCACCTCCCAGGAGTAGAGCAGTTCTCCTGCCTCAGCCTCCCGGTGAGAAAACACAGGACTACAGTACCACGATGCCGGCTAATTTTGTATTTTTAAGTAGAGATGGGGTTTCTCCATGTTGGTCAGACTGGTCTCGGGCTCCGACCCCAGGTGATCAACTGCAGCCTCCCAGAGCGTTGGGATTGCGAGCATGAGCCACCGTGCCCAGCCTTAGAACATTTTTCGATTAGCAGAAAAATTGACCAGGTAGTGCAGCCTCCCACACAGCCCTTACCCAGCCTTCCTATGGTTAACCTCTATTGAGCTGGGGGCGGGCTTTGTTGCAGTTGGCTAGATCACAGCGATATGACGTCGTTATTGACTAAGGCTCGCACTTGATTCCTATTGCCTCAGTTGCACTTGCTGTCCTTTCCTGTCCAAGGCCCATCCCAGACCCACAGCACACTCCAGTCCTCAGAGTCTCAGGCTCCTCTCGGCTTCCCTCGTGTTCGATGACCGTGGCAGTTTGAGACGCTGGCCGGTGTTTTGGAGTGTGTCCTCTGTTGGATTGGTCTGATACCTTTCTCTTGGTTAGACAGGATATAGGTTTTGGGAGGAAGACCGCAGGTTGGGAATCCCCTCCTCATCCTGGGCTGTCAAGGGCGTATGCTCTCCACCTGCCCAGGTCACGGGTGGGCTGGCCTGGACCACCTGGCTGACTCAGAGCCTGTCAGGTTTCACCGTGGGGAATCCCCCTGTTCACACGGTGCCCTTTGTGGAAAGTCACGATTTGCAGCCCCAAGGAAGAAGAAGTGCCAGAGTTAGGATTTTACTCTAGGGCAGTGTCCTATAAAAAAATTGTAGAATTTTCAGCAAAGGAACTTGTCTCCTCCCCGTTTATTTGTTTGTTCAATGATATTATCTATACCAGCTTGGATTTGAATGTTTATACTTTGTTGTTGGTGGTAGTTTTCTATTTTTTATTTTTTTTGAGATGGAAGTCTACTCTGTCACCCAGGCTGGGAGTGCAGTGGCATGGTCGACTCACTGCAACCTCCACCTCCCAGATTCAAAGCAATTCTCCTGCTTCAGCCTCCGTGTGGGACAACAGGTGTACTTCTGTGCCCAGGTAATTTTTGTATTTTCAGTAGAGACGGGGTTTCACTATGTTGACCAGATGGTCTTGATCTCTTGACCTCGTGATCCACCTGTCTTGGCCTCCCAAAGTGCTAGGATTACAGGCATGAGCCGCTGCCCGGCTGTGTTGTTGTATTTTTGGGAATGGAGTCTCCCACTCCATCACCCAGACTGGAGTGCAGTGGCATGATCTTGGCACACTGCAACCTCTGTCTCCTGGGTTCAAGTGATTCTCCAGCCTCAGCTCTCAAAGAGTAGTCACTGGGGCTTACAGGCGCTGGTCACCACAGCTAATATTTGTATTTTTAGTAAGTGGGGTTCACTGTTGTGTGGTCTTGAACTCTGACCTCAGTGATCCACCCGCCTCAGCTTCCTCAGTGCTGGTATTACAGGCGTGACCTGTGCCCTGACTGGGTGTTATAGTTTGGATTGAATCCGGAACTACAGGAGCTCTTGTGAGTCTGCAGGGGCTCCCCCAACGTGCTTCCGTCCAATGTGTGTGTGTTATTGTGTGTGTTGTGATGTGTGTAAACACTAACACTTTTTGCTTTTCTAAGATGTTCAGGTTCAACCTGTGTATTTCCTGTAATCATGATATATTAAAAAGAAAATGTGGCAGAGACATACGGTGAAACCAGCCTGTAATCCCAGCACATTTGAGAGGTTGAGGCAGGCGGTCACTGCAGGTCAGGAGTTTGAGACCAGCCAGGCCAACGCTGGTGAAACCCGTTTGTACTAAAAATACAAAAATTGGCCGTGCGTGGTGGCGGGCACCTGTAGTCCCAGCTACTCAAAAGGCTGAGGCAGGAGATCGTCGTGAACCTGGGAGGCGGAGCTACAGTGAGCTGGGCGTCACTTGCCACTCCAGCTGGGCGACAGCAGACTCGTAAAAGAAAAAAAAGAAAAAGCCGGGTACAGAGGCTCACACCTGTATCCCAGCTTTGGGAGGCCAAGGTGGGGCGAGATCCTGCCAGGTCAGGAGATCACAGACCATCCTGGCTAACATGGTGAAACCCATCTTTACAAAATACAAAAAATTAGCCGAGGTGGTGGTGGAACCACTATAATCCCAGCGCTTTGGGAGGCAAAGTGGATCAACAAGTGGAATCAGAGACCCATCCTGGCTAACATGGTGAAATCACGTCCTTTACTAAAAGTACAAAGTTAGCCAGAAGAAGAGGGCGTGGTCGTAGGCTCTGTGTTACAGTAAGCTACACTCAGAGCCAAGTTTAGATTAGCTTAAGATTAGATAATGAAGGTGCAGTAAGACCTGGACGTTTGCATGCTTCAGCCTGCAGTGTTGATTCACAAATACAAACTAAATAAAGCAGTAAGCTAAGGCTGGCGCGGTGGCTCATGCCTGTACACCCCCAGCACTGTGGGAGGCCGAGGTGGGTGGATGCCGAAGTCAGGAGTTGAGACCAGCCTGACCAACCAACATGGTGAAATCCGTCTCTACTAAAAATATAAAATTAGCCAGGCATGGTGGTATGTGCCTGTAATCCCAGCTACTCCAGAGGCTGAGGCAGGAGACTCGCTCGAACCTGAGAGGCGGAGATTGCAGTGAGCCGAGATCATGCCAC